TCTCTCTCTCTCTTTGTGGAACCAGGAATTGAACTCAGCCCCTTGCGCTTGCCAGGCAAGTGCTTATTCTACTGAGCCATCTCCCCAACCCCTCTATTTCTGTTTTATGTTTAGTACTTTTTGTTTTGTTTGAGAAATCTTTGCCTAGTACAAGGTCTGAAAGATAGTCTATGTATTTTTCTAAAAATTTTTGTTGTTCTACCTTTCTCTTTTAAATCTGTAATCCATGTGAAAACTGATTTTTGTGTGTGGTATGAAGGTCAGGGTCCATTTTCTTTCCTCCCATGAATATCCAGCTGACCCAGCATCATTTACCAAAAAGACCCTTGTTCTCCCTCTGCGTTGCAGTATTCTTTTGTGATGTCAGGGCGCTGTGGGTAGACTCGGTCCCATCCATGTGTCTCCAGCACTGCTTCCCTCATGCTTCATTAGTATAGCTCTAGCGGAGAGAAGCCTGGTTAGCTGAGCAGAAGGAGTTGGCTTTATAGGCAGTTAGGTACTTAGAAAAGCAAAATAAGGACCAAGAAACAGATTGCTTGTTTCAAAATTACTTTCCACTTAGGGTTAGAGTAGAGGGAACTTTCTTGGAATGCTGGCTACAACTGGCCTTCTTTTGGATTTTGGCTGTTACCTATCTCTCCTGATTTCTTGAAAGGTCAAATGTAGTAAACAACGTAATCTGGTGACATGGAAGTTTAGCATGAGTAGCTCCGTTTTAGTCTGATCTGGTGGGGCTTAGTACCGGCTCTCAGTCCAAAACCATGGCTTCCCACACATTGAACAAGCGCTTCCTGCATGTGCATTAGACTTGTTGCTGTTTCTTTATGTGATTCTGGTGGACTTTAAGTATGAAACTAAGATTTCAGAGCATCATTGACATGTTCCTATCAAGTATTTTTGGAATAAAACAATTTATACGTTTTTTTAAAAATGTCAGTTTTTAATAGTTTCTTAAACTTTTATTTGCTAATAAAAAGTACTTTTAAATTTAATCATTGTTGTCAAAAAGGAGAAAAGGATATATGCGCTGACTCCATTGTAGGTTTGCCTGTGATGCAAAAATAACTTGAGCTCAATCCTCAGTTTCGCCAAATAAATAAATAAATAAAAATAACTCAATTTTGGAATTTACAAAACAAGGTTTCTGGTTTCCTGGCAGTACTGAAATTGGGGGATTTAGGAGATCACATCGGATTGTTGTATGTTACATATCCCTGTAAAGAGCTTTGAAGAGAGAGAAAGGAACTGGGACACATGAGTCTTCATATCAGGCTTACTACTTAAGAGAAACGAAACTTTCCACATGTTGTAAGCACTAGACTAGGTTAGGCTACTGTCCTCTGTGCCTGACGTGTGGTCAGCTGGGTTCTTGGAGTGAATGGATGGAATATGTGTGTGTCCACAATAGAATTGCATGCGTGCACATTTCTTTTTGGTCTTACAAATGGAGAAACTAGCTGCTACTTTCCCATTGTCACAGAGCTCCTCGAGAGTGTCCCACTATAAGAACTGACTCAGGACGGATCTTTTTTGTTCTGTTTAAAGAAAATTTTCCAAATACCTGTTCCATGTTATGCCTAAGATGTTTGATATTTAGACAGATAGGGTAAACTGAACTGCATATGTTACAGGGTAATAGTAAGCTTCTCTTCTGGAGGGTTAACAACCTAAGTTTGCAGATCAAAAATTGGAGAAACGGAAGGGCTGCAAGGTCAGCCAACATTTTGGCCCTAGCCTTTCAAGGTCAGTGAAGACTCAGGACATAGGAGAACCTGTACTGTAACACCATGTAACTCAGTTGTGGCCCAAATTTTCTGATCAAGGAGATTATGGAGCCGCAGAGGAATGCGATTGATGATGTAGAGTGTGCCTAAGGAGAGTCACATGGAGAGAAAACATTCTTTCAGGCTTTCACGGGGAGCAAATTGATCAAGCAATGGCTGTGACTTATCCACATGGCTGACACTGACAAAGGATCTACAAAGTGCAGTACAGTGTTACAGGATAAATCCTGAGGGTATTTGACTGACCTTATCAGATACAAAAGTTACATTTCTTGTTATATGTGTCTTGCTTTATCTTGGTCTTAACCATCCAGCAGAAAAGTATAAAAATGAGGTATATAAAGTAAAGCCATATTA